AGAAACAAACTGAGGGTTTTGGAGGGGAGGGCGTTGGGGGGATGGGTGAGCCTGGTGGTGGGTATTAAGGAGGGCATGGACTGCATGGAGCACTGGGGTGGTGCGTAAACAATGAATCTTGGAACCCTGAAAAAATAAATTAAATTTAAAAAATAAATAAATTCAATTAGCCAACTTATAGTACATCATTAGTTTTTGATGAAGTGTTCAATGATTCATTAGTTGGGTGTAACACCCAGTGCTCATCACATCAAAAATAGGTTTATTTGGGGGCACCCGGGTGGCTCAGTTGGTTAAGCCTCTGCCTTCAGCTCAGGTCATGTCTGAGGGTCCTGAGATCTACCGGCATCCAGCTCTCTGCTCAGCAGGGAGCTTGCTTCCCCCTCTCATTCTCTGCCTGCCTCTCTGCCTATTTGTGATCTCTGTCTGTCAAATAAATAAATAAAATCTTTAAAAAAATATATATATATATATTTTATTAATTTATTTGACAGACAGAGATGACAAGTAGGCAGAGAGGCAGGCAGAGAGAGAGGAAGGGAAGCAGGCTCCCTGCTGAGCAGAGAGCCCGATGCGATGCGGGGCTCAATCCCAGGACCCTGGGATCATGACCTGAGCCGAAGGCAGCAGCTTAACCCACTGAGCCACCCAGGTGCCCCAAATAAAATATTTTTTAAAAATATGTTTATTTTCACAATCCGTATTGAGTTGCATAGGATTGAGCAAAAGTCATATACTAATTTTTGAGTGTGCCATATGTGTAACCTATCAAAAGTATTCTACAATTATTCATCTATTTTTTATCTCTAAGGCTTACAACAAATTAAGCCTTAAGCATCGTGAAGACAAATAAATTTACATGCAGTATCCTTAAAAAAATTTTTTTTAAATGGAGTTGTATAGATTAAACGAAATAAAGCCTTGGGAGCACTTTGTAAACTGTTAATTACCTTTTTTTTTTTTTTAAAGATTTTATTTATTTATTTGACACACAGAGAGAGAAATCACAAGTAGGCAGAGAGGCAGGCAGAGAGATCGGGGGAAGCAGGCTCCCCGCTGAGCAGAGAGCCTGATGCAGGACTCGATCCCAGGACCCTGAGATCATAACCTTAGCTGAAGACAGAGGCTTAACCCACTGAGCCACCCAGGCGCCCCTGTTGATTACCTTCTTTAAAAAAAAAAAAAGAAAAGAAAAGAAAGAGAAAAGAAAAGAAAGAAAGGAAGGAAGCTGGCAGGAGGATCTGTGTGTGGCCCATGCCATCCCCCAGACTTCCTCCACCTAAGGGGTAGAAAATAAGGAAGCGCCATAATGTAGTGGGCATGGACTTGGTACCCAGCACTTCACCTTATTTCGTCCTCCTAAGTACCCCAAAAGGTAGGTCTTTTATCCCCCAAGTCACTGAGGAGCAAAGGGACTTTCAAACTTTCCTCTAACTGGCAAGTGCAGGACACAGGATTTTAATCAAGAACCTCTGGCCCTTAATACGGGGTAGAGGGGAGGTTTGTTTGTTTGGCTGGCTTTTTGTTTTGTTTGTTGTGTTTTACTTCAGTCCCACGTAGGGAATTGGGAACTTTAATTAAGTTCATTAAACCTTTGATTACTGCATTTTGTTTTATGGAAGTCAAAGAAGAACCTATTAAGACGTATTAAAAGGCCTCGGTCTGTTCAAATTGTTTTTAGCCTCTTGGGGGTCAGGAAGAGAGAATCTGAAGTTTCGTGCCCCAGAAATTTGCATAGAGACACATACCCTATGGGAGTAGTGACCATCCATGTTTCCCTTTGTCCCCAGTCCAAGAAGCACCGGTTAAAACCCCACCAATCTACAAATAACCATATTCAAATGTGTTTCATGCTTCAGAGAGATTCTCAGAAATCAGAGAAGGGAAAATCAATTCCTTCATTTCAGGAGGTTGGGATGGTTTTATGGAAAAGCTTCCACTGTGTAAGCTGTCAGTAGTCAATCTTTTTTGTTAGTGTGCTTCCCAAATGATTATTGAACAACTATGGACTTTCCTGCACATTTTTTAGTTGACAGCTAACCTTTTACCATCAAGAGTTTAAATAGGTACAAAGGCTGCAATTTCTGACATATTATAAATTTATACACTCAAAAACAAATGTTTATGTCATTCTTTTAAACATAAAATGTTTATGTCAGTTGAATTAAATATCCTAACAATTGATACCTACAACCATCCCTTTAAAAAAACACATGAATGGGGCACCTGGCTGGCTTAGCGGGTAGAACATGAGACTCTTGATCTCTGGGTCATGAGTTTGAGCCCCATGTTGGGTGTAGAGATTACTAAAATCAATCAATCAATCAATCATGAATAGGCTCTTCTCTAATGATGGTTTCACATCATTCTCTTTTCTATTCAAACTCAAATTTTCACCCCATGTTTCACCACATTAAAATTTTACCATAATGTATTTTTTATTTTATTTTAAGTAGGCTCCATGCCCAATATGGGCGGCTTGAACTCATGACCCTGAGGTTAAAAGTCACATGCTCTACCAACTGAACCAGCCAGGCATCCCACCAATAATGAATTTTTTAATGCCTAAATAGCTTATTGATAGAGCTGTCATATTTCTCTGCCTAAAAATACATATATGTCAATGGAATCATTATTTTACCTTCCACAACCATAAGACTAGCTTTAAATTTTTCAGTCATTATAATTATCATAAAAATGCAATTGATCAAAACAGTGTAAATATGTTCCAATATTTTGAAGTCCCTTGAAACCATCAAAAATGGTTTTTTTGAGATATAACTGAAATAAAATAAACTGCACATATTTAAAATGTGCAATCTGATATATGTCTACAGTGGTAAAACCAGTTCTAAAAATGTTGATAAATAATTATTAAGCAAAAAAAGTAAAACTGGATAATGTTTCCTTCCCCATTAGTCCACGTGTCCCTGGAGGGCTACTGCTTGTGCAAGAATGAGACAAGCTTTAGCAATAATATTATTCCAACTTTTGATTGTTTATAGCTGTCAAGCAGTGGTGTACCAGAGTCAGATTGTACTGCTTCAATTTTGAGGAAATTTGTGGGTGATCTAGGCACCCATAGAGGCTAGGTACCTTAGGGTACATGATTATTACTAAAAATGAAATTATGTCAATTTACAGTTATTTAAAGCAAAGGAAATACTTTGTACTCAAGACTCATTACTTCCTAATTATTTCACTATGTCTTCTCGTTATCTGTGCTCTTGATATTATTGTGCCTATTATTTTGCACTGTACATGGTAGAAATATTGCTCATCTCTAACCAACTCCATGTTCAATGACATCACACTGGGAGCTTGAAATCAGCTAAGTGGGAGTATTTATACCACAGAATTGGCAAATGGTACAAATTAGCACTTCCTGCCTCCCCCAACTTATTGTTAAACATTTACCAGCACACCACTGGCTCTAAGAAGTTGGTGGGAAGAAAAGGAGTTTTGTTACAGCGATGTGTTGACAGATAACCAAAATCGCATAGTGATCTATCATCAAAAATTATTTTAATGATCTATGTACTGACAACTAGATTAGGCCCTCCTTCAATTGTGTGGAAAGCAAAGATTGCAAAAACCATCTGACTTGCAAAAGGATTTCTTATTCTGAGATGAAATTCACTCATTTTCTCAGTTTATTTCTCAATCCTAAGGGAGTAGCTGGAAAAATTTGCTTACCTTTAAATCCGTGGGGAAAAGTATGATTGGCATTTGAAGCTTGCTTTACTGCCAAGGATCTCTGCAGCATGAGATTTTCAACCTTTGATAATAATTAAGGGAGGGAAGAGGAGAGATCACTCCCAACTCTTTGCTCTGCAAAGTGTGTGAATTCACAGTTAGCCAACAGAGACCAAAATACTCTGGTTATGAAACCATGCCTCTGCCTTAGAAAGATACATATAATACAAATCAGTCAGGGTGAGAGGTAAGTCTAGGCACCTTTGGTACTTTGATTATCATGGGAAGCTCCCCCTTAATAATTCCAACAATATCTGTATCTGGGAGCCCCAGAGGATTCCACCTCCAGCCCTTCCCTACTGCTTGAGAGGATAAGGGGTAAGGCAGGGGTAAGGCAGGCACACAACTTTCTTTTACAAAGGGTGGAAGCAGATCTGAGACAGACTTGCAGACCAGTTAGAGAGATCACACTTTTTATGAACTTCAAAATTTGGAAAAAGAAACCCATAACACAGAGGTCGGCCATCCTAAGACCAAAAAGTCTGCCCTTGGGGTTGTTTTTTTTTTGTTTGTTTGTTTTGTTTTGTTTTGTTTTGTTTTGTTTTTTGTTTTGTTTTAGCCTGCTGCTAAGAATGGCTTTTACGTTTTAAAATGATGATGGGGGGTGGATCAAAACAAGGATGATATTTCGTGACATGTGAAAATTATATGAAATACAAATTTCAGTGTTCCATAAATACTGTGTTATTAGAACACAGCCACATTCTTTTTTAAGTATTTATAGCTGCTTTCGAGCTACAGTGCTGGAATTCGAGTCAAAGTATTGTGAAGAGATTGAATGGCCCACAAAGACGAAAACATGTAGCTCTTTAAAGAGTAAGTTTGCTGACCCCTTAAAGCTACGCACGTTCACGTCCCATGCGGAATGTGTTGCGTACCCGCAGAGGGGAGCGCACCGCGTTTGAGGAACGCGGGTCTAAAAACTGAAGACCCTGGGCAAGTCCGTGTCCTCAAGTTCCCCACGTATAAAATGGGTTTAGACACAGTGATCTCTCGGGGCCTGCCTGGCAGGGCATCAAAGAAATAAAGGGGACAGGGACTCGGGGTAGATCTCGAGCTCCACGCGCGCGCCGGACGGATCCCTCGGGGTTTCCAGCCGCGTGGGCGGGCGCAGCGCCCCGAGGCCCAGCTTTCGCAGGGGAATTCCGGGCGGGGTGCGGCGGCGGGGCGGGGCCGGGGCGGGGGCCGCCCACCGCCTATAAGAGGGGGCCACACGCTCTCCCCGGTCATTCGCCTGCGCGCCCTCTGCGGACCGCGGTACCATGGCCACTGCCCGCCTGCTCGCGTTGCTGCTGCTCCTCGTGGGCGCCCTCGCCGCCGCTGCGGAATCGGTAGGTGCTTGGAGATCCCCGGGGGGGCGGCCCGGTGCCTCCTTTGTTCCTGGGGGCCTGGGATAGGGGGGCTCGGGGAGCCGCACCTCCCCCAACTGGACGCCGAGGCCGGGGAAACTTGCTGGAAACTTGGCTCTGGGGTCACGGGGAGGCGCCGGGCCGGGGTGGCTGCCCCGCGCGAACGTGCGCTTCAGCCTGTTGCTCTTCCCGCCTCCGCTGGCCTCGGCCCCGCCGCGCGCTCCAGACTCGGACGTGACTAAGCCGGTGTCACCTCTTCTGTCCCCACACTCGCGCCCTTCCCTGGTGATCCTGGGGTAGGCTCCGAGTCCTGGATCCCTCTGCTCGCCCTCCGTAAGCGGCTGGAGCGGCGGCTCTAGAATCCTTCGGGGCCTGGGGACGAAGGGGCTGCGTGTACTCGGAAGGGGGAGGGGGGCCGGTTGTGCTGGGGGGGGTCTTGTTTCACACATCAGGGGGTGAAGAACTGAGCCCTGACGGGTCTGGCCCCAGCCCTGTCACTGGCTTGTGACAGGGCAAGCCCCTGCCCCTTCTGAGTGTCAGTTTCCCTATCTGCACATTGGGCTTGAGGGAACGCAACTGGAGATGACCAGTGCTTCTTTAGGGTCCGCTCTGATCCTTCAAGGGCGGAGGGGAGGGACGATTTGGGCTCAGCACTTCACCAAGAGTTGAACCTTAGCTTTCTGCGAGAATACTGTTTATTTTTGTCGAACTGCACACGGGAAATTGGAGCATGCATCTTGAGTGGGGTAAAGGGGGCTGGGGGAGAGAAGGCCTCAGTGAGCCCGGAGAAGCTCTCCTCTCAATGCCTGGTTGTCCCTGTCCTAGTTTACAAAGCCCTAGGCCAGCAGAAACTCCATTCATCCCAGCAGCCAGTGGGGGAGGAGGGTGACAATCTCATCTGGGAAGTTGGGGGAGTGGGAATTGATGGGAGAGGCTATCTGGCCCCCAGGGACCCCAGCTCTGTGCCCTCTTCATGCCCGTAAGCCCCCCATTTGAGGGGAGAGAAAGTCTGTGGAGTTCAATCATTGTTGAATTCTTTATGGGATTCCTTTCTCTTACGGGCTTCGGGGAAAGTCCTTTCTGCCTGGCAGGCTTCTGTTGAAGAATGAGTGGGACCCGGAGAAGAACAGCAGGCAGTGATGAAAGCAAATATTTAGCACTTATGGTGTGCCTTATGGTGTTCTAATAGCTTTCTAATGGCTATTCTAATGGTCTGTTAAGTAGCTTAATTCTGACAACCCCGCAGTTTACTGTTCTTAAGTGGGTCCTGAGGCTGAGGAGGTTAGCTAACTTACCCGAGGTCGCACAGCTAGTAAGAGGCTGAGTCACTCAAATTTAGGCAGCCAGGCTTCCAAGTTCCTGCTCTTACGATAAGCTGCATTCCGATGCTTTCTGACTGGCTGTCCCTGTGTCCCATCCTCAGGGCCGGCCAGCCTCAAGGAATTCTGAGGTGGAAGGGAACAGGGGCCCAGAGTGGGAGGATGACTTCCACAAATTAAGGGCAACCTGACCGGAAGGTTAGTGTCCGAGCCGGACCCCAGCCTACATCTGCTGCTCCCTAGGCCCCCGAGAGATGTGTTGGAGTCAAGCTGTTGGGGAGACCATTGAAGGCATGTCAGGTTGGGTCCAGTCACACAGCAGTCCCAGTTCAGGGGCTGCTGAGTCGGCAGGTGCTTCATGGTGAGGAGCAGACAGCTGGGTCCTGGGGGCAGTTGGAAGGATACGGTTTGGGGGAGCACAGCTGTGTCAGCCCTGAGCCTGGTGACCCATCAGCTGGGGAAGAGTAGGCCCAGAACAGCTGCTTTCCTTCCGCAGAAAGGTGTCCAGAGAGGTGCCTGACCCTCTCTCATCCTGACCTCAGCACTCCCCTTCCTGGAGAGTGTCACAGACCTTCCACCTCTCATTGGGTCACAAGACTTCCCTCTTTGCTTCCCCTGTCCCTTTCCTGCTGAGGTTGTGGCGGGAAAAATCAGACCTAGTCATAGCTGAGTAGATAATGATGGAGAGGTCTGCCTATTTTTTGCAGGTGGAGAAAACAGGCCAAGGGAGAAGGGGTTTGCTGGTTGCAATTAGGATTTGTGAAGTGCTTTCCAAATGCCAGGTCTGGTGCATTTTATCCTCATGAAAAGCCCAGCATGTGGGGATTGTATTATGCCTACTTTACTGATGGGGGAACTGAGGTCTCCCTCCAGTAGTGCTGTTGCTGCCCCTCCCCAAGTTTCAGGTTTAACCAAAGGCCTGCCCTCCCCTTGGGTGGTACCCTACCCCTAACCCTGAGGGCTTGGTGCCACAAGTTTTGGGAAGGGAACCCAGTCTGAGCAGCCAGCCTCTTCCCCGGTGGGGCTTTCTATCCCAAACCAGTTCTTCTTGTCCAGCTGGGAGCATTCCCCTGAACTGCCTTCCTGCAGCTCCTTCCCCAGCCAATTAAAGACAGCCTTGTTTTGGGAGCTGGACCCCCCCACCCTCCCCTCAGGTATTGCTGCCCAGGGGCACAGCCTGCCGATGTGGCACCAGGCCCAGTGGGTTCTGGGGAAGTGTATTTTAGCTTAGAGAGGTTTCTGGTCTCCGTGAGAATTCTCTCCCTTAACTGCACCAAGGTGGGACCAAGGTGGGAGTGGGGCAGAAGCCCAGGGGCTCTGGGACCCTTGAGTGGCCAGTGAGAACTCTTTGGAATTCTTAGAAGCCCAGAGAGCCGCTAAAGGGGATATTTGGGCCATGGTCTAGAGGGTTCTGTGAGGTTGAGGTTCCGCCATCTGTAAAATGGGGTTTGAAACAAATGACCTTGAATGCCCTTTTCAGCTCAAGTATTTCCCCATCCCCACCACACATAACCACTTCCACCCATGATGGAGGGGATTTCTGCTCTTTTCATCTTCAGTGAAATACTGGTCCCTTAGGACTCAGCAAATGTTTGTATGAATGAATACATGTATGTATGAATGAATACATGTATGTATGAATGAATACATGTATGTAACGTCATTCTGAAAGGTGCGTGGAGTTTATTTATCACGAATAGGAAGGTCTTCCAGGGATACCGTGACACAGGTTTTATTACTCTATTTTTATACGAAACTGATGCTCAGAGGAGGATAGTGGCTTGCCTAGGTCAGAACCGGGTCTCTCTGATAATACAAAGAGTCTGATTGGAGCATCTTCAGAGAACATTCCATATGAGGAAATTGGCTGGGTTTGAAGGCAGATACCTTGAGTTCTGCCTCTGAACTGCAAGGTGACCTTGAGCATATGAGCCCTATCGTTAGGTCTCCGTGTCCTCAACTCTGTAACAAGCCCACCTTGGCCCTCCAAGGGTCCTTCCTGCCCTAAAAACACACCGCTGAGGGGTAGGGAAGCCTTCTTGGCCCCCTGGGTGAAGATCCTAAACAAGAGAAGCTGGGGGGTGGAGACATTCAGCTCTTGCCATCCCCAGCTCCTGGAAACAGCGGGCTTTTCCAAGGACTTGGAGTGCTGGGCTGTCCTGAATGCGGAGCTGGGAGAGCCAGGCTGGGCTTCCAGCCGCAGTTTCCCCTTGGGAGGAATTGGCTCCTGGTTGTTCTCCGCCTTCTGGACTGGTGGGTGTGATTTCCAAATGACCTCTTAAAATTGGGGGAAGGGGCTGGACAGGGCCTGTGAGTCACTGGAGGAGAGCAGTGACCGGCCTGAGTCACCCATTTCCTGGCAACTCTTGGCTAGTAGGATGACTCTGGTGGGGGTGTTGGAATGGGCTCCAGAGTTTTACCTTGTCCTCTGAGACCCTATTCGAGATAGTGTCCAAGCGCCCCGGGCTTTGAGGGGTGCAGGAAATGCCGGTCCTAGGCCTCGGGCCTTCTAGTGCCTTGTGGGTGGGTGGGCTCTGACAGGGTGCAAATCCAGCCAGCCTTCAGAATTGGGCTCGGGACCTGTGCAGAGCAGGTAGAGCTGTTTCCCAGAAAGTTCTGAGCAACCAGAGCAAAGATGGTGCAGTCCAGGTAGGACGGCAACCCAGGAGGCTGATTTTTCTGACGCCCTCTTCTTGCTACCTGGAACTGGCTGGAGAGCCCTGGAATGGTGGTTTGGGCCCAGACTGACCTGACTTGCAGGGGTGTGAAGTCCACCTCTACTCGCTACAGGGCGGTGGGCACGTCGGCCAGTCTCCCCGGCCTCTGCTTCCTGTGCGTTGCGGTGAGGCTGCAAGTAAATCATACAGTGTGTGCCTGGTAGGGAGGTTGCATTCTTAGTGGCAGGACACCAGGTGGTCATGTACCTGGGAGGATCCTAGTCCCAGGGCCCCTGGAACACTCTCTGCCCTCCACTCCCTCCCCCTCCAACAAGGTGGGAAGGGAGGAGTCCAGGGTGGGGCGGATGGATTTCAGATCCCCTGTTTGTTTATTTTAGAAGTGGGCTGTTAGCTAATGATCTGATGGGTTTATATTTAAACAAGAACCAGTTCTCAGCAGCCCCACCCCTCCTGCTGGCATCTGTAGGAAGCCCTGGCTGAGCTGTTTGCCAGCAGCACTGAAGGGTGGTGGGGGTTTGCTAAGGGTATGGGACCACCTGGACAAAGCCCCAAGAGGTCAGACCCCCACTTGGAGGCGCAGAATTTCTAGGCCTACGGAGGCTGAGTATAGAGCTCCGGTATAGTGCTCTGGCCTTGGAGTAGGGGTGTGATGGTGGAGGGGAAGGTAGAGTGTCTGAAAAGCCAGTGGGCTTTCAGTGCAGGTGCCTGGAGAGGGAGGAGAAGGCCTGTGTCAACAGTTGGGGCCTGATTTAACCCCAGAAGGACTGGAAGCCTGACTTCTTGGGCTGGTTAGTTAGTAACTCACTGGTGATCTTCAGGCACGTCCCTGCATCTGGCCAGGCCCTTTGGCCCTGTCAGAGGCAGGGTGACTAGAAGTGGGTCCATTTCACAGCCAGAAAAACCTGAGTCACCATCGCAGCTCTGCTGCTCACCCCGGGACATGTAGTTAGTTAATAAGTCACTTCGCCAATGTGTCCTCAGTTAA